TCCAATTGATCGCCTTAGAGCTATACTGTTCCATCGGTGTCAGGTTCACAACTACGCCAACTGTCATGCCCAGGGTCAGGTTCCAACTCATGCTGAGGTTCAAAGGGAGTGGGTGGATGAGCAGATAGTTGAAAGAACACTCAGGAGGCAGTAGGCAGGTGAAATGTCGTTTTATTTAGCAGCTCTCTTAGCAGCTTACTTACACTATTCTCTTATACTGTCCACCTTGTCTCGGCTGCTTAGTCCGGGGACCTCCCACATGTTCACCAGCTTGTGCCGGCGATCTCTTCCAACGCCCAGCTACTGGTAGCTGAGGCAAGAACAATCGTTGAACTCGGAAGGCGGGAGTTCGCAGGCGCCAAGATTGCAACCACTGCATCCAGCTGGGCCGAGAGAGTGGGAGGACGTCCATCTCAAAAAAAAAAAAAGAAAAAAAAAAAAAACAAAAAAAGGAAAAAACCCTTACCATAAATTTAATGATTCTCACAAAGGAGGAGAACACTTGTGCATTCTTCCCTAGGTCGTTGCCTGTAACAAAGTACCACAAACTGGGGTGTTTAAACAATAAAAATGTATTGTCCTCATCATGGAGGTTCCCCGAGTCAGAAAAACTAAGGGTCACAGGTCTAAGCTCCCCTGCAACCTGCAAGGGAACTTTGGCCTTAGCTTCTGGTGGTTTGCGGCAATCTTCTGGCATTCTGCTTCAGCTGCATATACCCATTCTCTGCATCTTGACCGTTGCCCATCCTGTCCGTCTCCTCTTGTGTCCTGCGGTCCCACGACAGTCCAGCTTCCTCAAATAAGGACATCAGTTGCTGGATTAGGGCTCGTCCCCATCTCCATTAAGACGCGGTCTTTTTCTTTTTCTTTTTTTTTTCTTTTTGAGACAGAACTCACCTGTTGCCCAGGCTGGATGCAATGCACAATCTCAAACTGACGCCACGCCCGCCACCCCAGGTTCGAAGCGCATTCTCCTGCCTTCCAGCCTCCCGGGAGCTGGGACTACAGCACCCGCCCGCCTCACTAATTGTTATTTTAGGTAGAGTCAAACGGTTTCGCCGTATTGTGCGCTGTCCGAACTCCTGAACCAAGC